CCAATCATATTAGTAACATAGATAGGTTATCTGTATTGTGCATTGACAGCAATATCCCACTTATTTAAACTAAACATGAGAACATTTAAAACAAGTATATTTGGTACTAAAAAACTAAAAACTATTGTGAACATAACATACACTATATTGCATATTATAATTACAAATTATTACATAGTTTGTGACAGTATCATAACATTTTTTTCTGTTTCCATGAATATTAAATATTTTAAAAAATTCACTATATAGTTCATAAAAAAACAATAAAAAATACTTACTTGGTACTTTCTATTTACACCTGTTAAATTATATTTAATAACAATTTGAGTTAGTACAGCTAATATATATTTTTTACTGTACATTTTTAATCATTCATATATATATATATACATTATATAATATAATATCATACACTAAATTAAAGTTCAAAATACTTGTGGTAGTTATTTATTTTATTTTAATTTTGATATTTATATTTTAGGTATGGATGATAATATGATTATGAATATGACATCATAATGGTTGAAGAACAATGTGTAAAAAGTAATAAATCAATAAAAATGCAAGCTGTGGCTCTCAGAACATCGAGATCAATCTCAAATGAGGAATGTACTACTAGACAAAAATCTGATGTTGGAAGAGCAGCACGTAAAGCTAAACGTATACGATTCCTAGTTAATGGTGATCGATTTTGTAAAGGTAATTTTTAAAATTAATATTATCACTTAACTATAAAAATATGGTTTCTAAAAGAGACAATATTTTTAATGAATAAATATAGTGATTAATTAAGCATCACTTAAGTACCGTTATATTGATGATATTTAGTGGTATAATACAGATTTATGCTTATCATTGACATTATTATATTTTAGAATTATTTTAATTAATAATTTATTATCATTAATATAATTTTTTCTGTTGGTTTTAGGTGTTGTGGTAGCAGTAACTCATGAACGATATCGCTCCTTTGACAGTCTATTAGCAGAACTATCAAACATGCTATCAGAGAACAAGCACCTACCTAGTGGTGTAAGGGCATTATTTTCAACAGATGGTCATAAAATATCTCAACTAGATGATCTCGAAGATGGAAAATTTTATATCTGTTCTGGTGGCAATAATGCCATAAAAAAATTAGACTATGCCGCTCTGAACAATGTAAAACCATCTCGGTCTTTGACCAAACTACAATCCACCCATACAGTTTTAAGCAGCCCGAGTAAACAACCATATCTTAATATTATAAGGCCTAAAATTATATTTGTGGTGAGAAGTGGTACCCGACCTAGAAAAATAATCAGAATGTTATTGAACAAACGCAATTCTCCTTCATTTGAACATATTCTTACACTAATAACAGAATCAATAAAATTAGATACTGGTGCCGTCCGTAAAGTATATGTATCATCTGGATGTCAAATAACACAACTAGAACAATTTTTTGAGCCTGATGATTTGTTCTTTGCTTACGGTTCTGAACGAATATCTCAAGATGATTTGAAATTAGACTTTGAAGAAATGAAAACTGTACAATCCCACAAACGTGGACTGAGAAGACCAGCCAATGAACTGAAAAATGGCACACATTGTATGGACGAAAGTGGTAAGAGAGTACCTCAGTTACCAAAAACCACTAAAGCGAATCGGAGCATAACCAGTTCTATACCTACCAAAGTTCTAAACAGGTATATGATTATATCAAATAAATTGGGAGTTATAAACAATTAGGAAAAATGTAAATACAATAAAATTACCATTAATAATTTTTTTTTCTAATACAACCAGAGCTATTAGAAATAAAATTAAAAGATCCAATAATTGTTATTTTTCTATGCAAACAATATTGTATTTACACTTGTCCCAAATGTTTATATAACCTTACAAGTTGAATTTATTTAATGGTATATTTAACACTATTTCATTGAGTTAAATTTAAAATTGATTCAAATTGTTTTGGCCTTACTAGAATTTTGTCTAGACAAACTGGTGTTAAAATAAAATATACCGATTATGTTGATAAATTTACATTTTACATAATAATTTTATATGTTACAGTCAATCAGTTAGGTTAATCAAGACTTCTCATTGTCATGCCATTGCTTATATAATATTTCTGTTAACTCTTATTGCTAATTTTGTTTGGAAGTAATTTTTAATGATTGATATTCTCTCTATACTCTGTACCACAAGAGAACATGCCATGCAATTACGAGGATTAGTCAGCACTGCACATCCCCTATCAAATTCTCAATAGTTATAGTTAGCGTGCGATTGTAGCAGTGCTGCTCAACATTAACAGCAATCTATTACATTTGTCTTGTGCTCTAAAGTTGGTCATCATCAGTGAAGTGTATTTGCATGGGTGTAATGCAATGGGCTTAGTCACTATACCAACCTCATTCTACATGCATAGAACCAACATGTTCTCTCTTGGAATAGAGTATAGGATTTCCATTAGTTTACCTGTTAATAATATCACTATTTTCATGGTTTATAAATACTGTTGGTACTTGTAAATCATTATTTATGGTAGCAGTATTTAAGATAAACGCCATTACAAAGTTTAATCATAAAAAAATGTAATACTTATGAAAAAAATGAACTAAAATAACCAAAACTACCAGTCATATTTACAAATCCTTTTTTAACCTTAAATTAAAAATCTATATTGATGTTTAATATTTATTTTATCTATAAATTTTAGTCAATTTATGAACTATATCAATATTGATTATTGTCATGACTTGCCTTAACATAATTTTCTATACTACAGTATTTTACTGTAACATACATTTTCAAAAAGTTTTTAATTATATCTTAAACAAACCACTTTTTGTTTATAAAATATTAATTATGTTACTATTTTACAAGTAGATCACAAATATTTTATATTAATATAATCTATTTTTTTTTTTTTTTTACATAAATAGGTACACTATTGGTGATCGACTTGGTGATGGTAATTTTGCTGTAGTTTATCGGTGTTTTGACAAACGAAATAATTCTGAATATGCATTGAAAGTAATTAAAAAAATAGAAGTCCCTCAAATGAGTCAAATGATTGAAAATGAGCTTTCAATATTGAAAAGTATAAGCCATCCAAATATTATTAATTTAATATCTGACCTAGTGACGAACACTGATGTATACCTCATCACAGAATTAGTTAGTGGTGGTGACCTATTTGAAGCTATTGCTAGGTGCACAGACTTTTCTGAGCGTGATATTCGATTGATGACGAGAAATTTGGCTTCAGCTTTGGCATACCTTCATGGATTAGACATTGTACATAGAGATGTGAAACCAGAAAATCTTCTAGTTGAATATGATATTAACGGTCATGTATTGCACTTAAAACTGGCAGACTTTGGTTTATCTCAAAAAGTCACCGAACCACTGTACATGGTATGTGGTACTCCCACTTATGTATCCCCAGAAATCCTTACTCAAGATGGTTATGGAGTGAAAATTGATATTTGGGCTGCTGGAGTGATACTATACATACTTTTGTGTGGATTTCCACCATTTGTCAGTGAAAATAACATTCAAGAAGATTTGTTCAATGACATCCTTAGCGGGACATATGGTTTTCCAGAACCTTATTGGGATAATGTGTCTGAAGAAGCTAAAGATTTGGTTTGCTCAATGTTACAGTCCAATCCAAGTTTGAGATTTTCTGCTGAAGATGTTCTCGATCATCCATGGTGTGATGAATTTGAATTGTGATGAATACTTCCAAACATTTGTTTTTTTGTTGCCATTATATGTAACTGGCTAATTAAAATTATTATTGTTCCATTATAATAATAATAAAATGCAATTAGACTTGTGTAACTGTTTCAATTTTTGAATTATTATTATATTTAATGCATAATTATTTTATTTTACTTTGTTTAGTGATCTAGCATTAAGCAATTTTAAGGCAATGTATTTAGACATTGATCAACTATTTATATGTATTAATTAATAGTATGTAAATGAAGCCAAAATAATTAGACTCTTCCTATTTGGTATTACAATTAAAAATTAAAGTGATACTATTATAATTATTTTCTTTTTTTTAATAAATAACATATATGATGAATTCTAGTTTAGTAAACTGTTTTTATTTTTTTCTGATCTCCGAAACCGTTGGACGTATATTACCAAGTCTTCTGTTTATATATTATAAATGTATACTAGTATAAATTATTTTAGTGATGAAAAATAATTTGTTGGTATTCATTATTATTATTATAAAAACAATAATTTATATGGAGTTGATTATTATAGTAATTTATTTTACCATTAGTAATATGGTATAATTAGGCAATAGCTTGAGAGGACACTACACCCACATGTGATGTATCCTTCTTACTAATGTACAACATACTAAAAACTGTTTTGCAAGGACAATTTTTTTAATTTAATTACTTAAAAATTATTGGTTAGTGGTGTGCATTAAAATACACTATGAGGCTCATTTAGCGTCGTTCTGGCTGATGTGCGTAATCCCACCAGAGGTCCATATATGCGTATACCTAGGTACCTATTGGATATTACCTATACGCACATACCTATTTAATTACAAAGTCGCATTAGAGTCGGTTATTTTGTATCTTAGTCTGTACACCTTCGTGCCACTGGCCAGTCATCACAATAATTTGTTTCTTAGCTCTTAGAATATTTTTTATCCGAATATTTGAAGACATGAAGTCATTTTGTCACCCCGAGACTACTTGGAACACAACGGAGAGTGGCATTATTATTTGTGCTAAGAATGTTTTATTTTATCATTAAAACTACATGTTGTTCAATACAATACCTGCTGTGAGTTGTAACGGCCATTTAACTGTTTAATTGTATTTCATAATAATAAAGCCGGTAGTAGTACGGTTTCCCTACTTTTATAGTTGGTATCCGATCTAGGGACTAGGATACCACTGATACCAGACGGATCGCAACATCATCATCAGATTTGGCGATCACATTTTTATCAAAACAATAATTTTTAAATATAATAATATATTATATATTTCTACATAGCAGTTTACTGTACACATTTTTACCAGAAATATCGTACAGGTTGTTAATAATTTATGCATGTTCGAAACGCTCGAGTATGTTTTGACATGGAATGATTGACTGTGGAGTGCGAACCAATAGTCGTCCGTTTACTTTCGATATCTGTACTCAAAAATCCATTTTGTAATCCAGTGCTTAATGGTTTTTCTTGCATGGATCACGGATGACGTGTCGTTGGGATTTGACGCCCTCAAGTCCAAGTGATGCGCACCATCTGGTATCAACAACGCCCTGACAGACGACGAAAGACTCTTCAACACGCCGCCACTGGACCACGGGTCCAATAAACCATTGCTAAGAAAACAATTGATGATAAATACATTATTATATTGTTTCCTAACGCCTTCGAGTTTGTACCCAATCACCGAATCGGTTCCCGGGAAGTCTACAGGAGGTAACATGCACATTGCTTACGATGAACTTTACTTTTAATAATAGGTACCTACCTGTTTTAAAATTAACTTTTTAAGGAGATTTTTCGTACTACTTAAGGAATGTCCTGTGGAAATACAAACTCCTGTGTTTCAAATAAGGACACCCCGTTTAGGAGAGTACAACTTATTTACTTATCCAGTGGATAATTTTTCTGAAAAATTTGACGTTTCTTACTCATACGAGGTGTGATCAAAAAATAACCGGGACAAATATTATTACGGCTAATCTAGGCACGATAGCGTTTTAAATTATATATACTATACAGATTTATTCCCCACGTATTAGTGAATATTTTAAACAAAACCCAAGTCGATATTTTATCTCAGTTTAAATCAACACTTGGTTAAATCGAGTCAGTTTGTTTTGTTTTGCGTTTTCGATATGTTCATTTAAAAAGACAATGGTGGTTGTTTTTTTGATATTAAAAATATTGTTCATTATGAATTTGTACCCCATCGACAAACAGTCTATCAGGTATTCTACAAAGACGTATTAATACGTTTAGGAGAAAAAGTTCGTAAAAAATACCCAGAAATATGATGACGAGAACCTGGATTCTTCACCACGACAATGCGCCAGCCCATTCGGCACTGTCGATAAGTGCATTTTTGGCTGAAAGAAACACCTGTTGTCCCGCACCCTCCCTATTATCCTCATCTGACCCGTGTGATTTTTTTCTTTTCCCAAAATTAAAATTTGCACTCTAAGGACTACGATTCCAAGATGTAGAAGAAATCAAAGCGAATACTTCAGCAAAATTCAAAATCTTAACTTCGGAGCAGTTCCAAAGGACTTTCGAAAAATGGCAAGAACACTGGGACCATTGCATTTTGTCTGGAGAAGAGTATTTTGAAGGAGATATCATTAAATAATGTGTAACTTAACTTTTGTATTTATTAAAAGTAAAATCCCGATATTTTGTGATCACACCTCGTGTCCTCGTATGATGTAAATACCTATATAATACAAGATTATCATTACGTGAATATGATGTTGGACGCTGCTTTGAGATTTTTGCCTCCGTACTGTTTTTCGACGTCGTCTGTAGTCGGTCTGACGTCGTATCGATTTTCACAGTAGTCCGCGTAGCCTTCGAAATCCCACGGGTACGCTTCAAATATATCGTCCTCGCCTCCGTGAGTACATAAGGGCATTATCATTTCAGTGCAAGCCTGGAAAAAACCCCACCCGCGTAGTCGTTTAACAATGTTCACATTTTATTTCGGATTATTAAATCTATTAATAGAACAACGGCAATGTCTAACAGTTAGTACGTTTGCTATTATGATTTATAGATGTTTAGTATCGATGAGTTGTAACTTAAAGAAATGTCAGCTAAGATAGTAGGTAAGACTTCATATGGGTAGACACAACTAGGATTAAAATTATGAGGGAGGCACGGCCATCCTAACAGAATATTAACTCAAAATAACCTATGGGCATCTAAAATCAATAAAGGACATATTTGGGGGGCTGGATCGTAGTCAGGGGAGCTAAGCCCCATATGCCCCCCCCCAGTTGCGCCTCTGGGTTCATACTACATATATAGGTAAGTTCTATAGACTGTAAAATAAATATATATTATGTGGATAATTACTACCTACTAATATTAGCATACGTAATATAATATTGTTATGTTAAAAACGCCTCGAAGACTTTCATTATTTCATAATATTTTCCAGGGAAAGCGTAATATTATTATGATAACAAAGGTTAACAGCCAAGACAACTACAAATAATCATAAACCCATATAGTGTATATTTTGTTCTCAATAATTTCACTATTATTGATATTTTTTTATAATTCATAATTGTTTTATTTCTATAAACGGTTGTTTTCATACAGTTACAAAAAAGCGATATTCACTAAATAGTAGATAAATGTCATATGATGTCATGTTTATTTACTCATTTAACAGAATGATTAGATGTGCTTGAACAGGGCTGCACTCACCTGATAACCCCATCCGTCCATAATATCGTCTGAGAACGCCGAAGACAGATCCAAACAGTTGGCCGATCCGGTGTAATTGAAATACACGCTCAGCCCATGAAACACCGACATCAAGAGCGTCTTGTCGTCTTCCGTGTGATTCGTCATCGACTTGCACACTTCCTAACGATACAAGTTAATGGTATTTTTATTGTAAACTCCATAATATCACTCCGACACTCCAGTCAACATCGATTCAAGACTGGGTACGTAAGGCAATATTTAGGGAACTCCTCCAGTTAAGTCACAATAGTTGCCAAGTTTTTTATGTGAATTTCATTAAATTTTTTTTTTAAGTAAAAGAAAAAAATTAACCAAACGTGATAAAAAGTCAAAATTTGTCAAATTCTATTTTCAAAACAACAGAAATAAAAAGTTAAATACCTACCTTAATTTAGTGATATTTATTTAAAATGATAGATGTTAGTAAAAATATCTTTGAGGACTATGTTACTAGGTTTGTCAGAGATGATAAATAAGAAACATATTTGTATGCTTTAAGTAAAATATATTCTTGAAATTAATCAGTTAGGAACCAACAATAAATTACAAATATTTAAAGAAAACTACGAACCTCGGCTACTGAGAATTTTTACTTTTGACCCCCCCTCTCCTCCCCCAAAGAAAGAACTAGGTTTGTATAACTTTTCCTACCTGTTAATATATTAAAACTGATATAACTTTGCAACATAATCTTGACTTTTAATTATTTATAAAATCAAAACTTTTGACTCAATAAGGTTATGTATTAAACAACTATATAGCTTTAAATTATTAACACTCAATATATCAATACCTTGATCGGATTCGCCGGCAAAGGAGCCAAAAAATTAGCCTCATAAGGATAGTTAACCATGGCCAGTGCTACATACACGTCAGTGGCCCAAGATTTTAGCTGTGCCACGTCGTCGGAGTCCTCTAAAGGTTTACATAGCTTCCAGTTGTCCGTTAACCACTGTTTCCCAGAATCTGTGAAAACCCGTAGAAGCGGTTCAATAATTATAATTTATAAATTATAATATTATATTAGTGGGTAGTAAGTAGGTACTCCTTCCAAAATAATTTAAGTAAACACGTGTTTGCACATTACACTTGTATTTAAATATGTCATATATGATTCAAGACAACGCCTTAATGATTTCTGGTTTTAGTTAGTAAGAAATTGTAAAAAACCGCTACCTATATTATAGGTCATTTTTAATAATAGAAGTGCATCAAGCCCGTTATTAATTTATTGTTTTCTTAGTGTTTTGAAATGATGAACCAATTATATCAGCTAAAATTTTAACAAAATCCCGAACATTTATTTTTATTTTATTCATAAATATGGGACAAGTTCAAAAAAGCTAAAATAGAATAAACCGGTTAATTTATATAATACACAAGTCACGCATGTTATTAGATTTGTAAATTAGTTAGAGCGAACAAGTTAGGTCATAGTAAGTAATTTTAATGAATGATAACTTATATTCAACTATATTGTTATATACCTACTTTAAAACAAAGTAAGTACTTACTAACATTAAAATTTAGATATTTTAGATATTTTAGATATTTTACATTTTACTGGTATTTTATTCAATTCGAAATGTTACAAAATAATTTACCGGATTCGGTGACGTCATCGATGGCTTTCCAAGATGCTGAAATAGTCGATCCACATTCAGCACTGGCATTTCTGTAAACCGACGATGTCACTTTGTAGAAATCGTTGCACGGTGTCATCCCAGTGAATTGCCATATCGGAGCTGACGAAGCTATGGCTCTAATTTTTAATGCGAAAAAAATTATAAACAACAGTATAGATGAACATCACAATATGTACTAAGTAGAATGTAAGTGTATTATGTGGAAACAAAGTATAAAAGAATATATTGTAATAATAACGTAATACCATTGACTTGCTAAATAACACCGAGAAAAATGTTTGAAGTTCAAAGTCACTTGTGAGATAAGGTTTCTTAAATTCAAAATAAATATCAACCATCGACTGTTTAAGTGATCTTATCATAACTTGTTATCACTGTATTTATCTACATAATTTGTACCGACCCTTCGACTGTGGCGGGATACTTGATGCGGAACCAAGCGGCCAACATTCCTCCGTACGAGCCGCCTAAAGCGAATACCGGGTTGGGACGTTTGCCAATACTCAGTGGGTCTTCACGCAGATACTTTATTAAGTCTACGAAGTCGGCCAACGCTTGCTGTGAAGTCAGATAGCCCAACGCCTCTCTGTCATCGAACGAATGCTTTCCGTAAGGCATGGAATCGCCATAGTAACGGTGCTCGGCGAACACGACCAACGCCTGGAATTCTCTTGATATCTCCCACATAAAGCCCTATTTTTCGTGTAGATAAATAATTATAAGCTTTGCGTTTGCGTACAAAAATATACGAGTGTGTACCACGACCGTTTTGTTTTCCGTTATTGATAAAATATGTATAGCGACAATTCTAGACGATTTATCAAGGCCTTATATCATGAGGATAATATCCGATGGCTCGGCAATGAATATAAAGGGACGATGGAGTAATTTTATAGTAGGCTTTTAAAAAATATATCATAATAATATTATTATGACATTACTATTGGAAAATGGATCCACGACAACGATGAAGCAAAATTGCCTATTCAGAGCGCCGTGTTACAATAACATACTGTATCACGGAAAATTATTGAAATGACCGCAGACATCCCAACCAGAGGTACAAATTCCAGGATGAATAGTCTTAAAATAACTTACTGATTAATAATAATACCTAATTCCATTCTCATATGAAAATATATGTCTTACTATAATATAGGAAGAAGCCTTAAAAAATAATTTACTATTTATTTCATCTTGATACAAATTTATAAAGTTTGAACAATCATTATATATTATGCAAGATAGATATAAACCATGCTATCGTATACTTAGTAGTATATGCACTTTAAACCTAAAACGAACATTTAACGCCTCATTGTTTGTAAGAGTTGAAATATTAACTTCAAAACTTACCGAGTTCTCGCAAAAATCTTCAATTCGTCCTTCGTTACCAGCATAAAAAAGTATTGGACCTTTATTGACATCCCAATATGTGTCATTCATAAGATACTTTAATTCAAATGTATCATCATTGGTGTAACTAAAATGATCAACCTGGTAAAAAAATCAAGTACCTAATAATTCGTATGTAATAATACGTATGTAGAGTTCTACTTTTCCTACATATTTTGTGTTTTATTACACAACTACATATTATAGTAATTAGCTGTTAATAACATTTTAAAATATTATGCATAACCCATATTAAATTTAGTTACATTAGGAATAATTTTACTCAGTTGTATTGTATTTCTGTTAAAGTAGGTATTATGGATAAAGTTTGTCTATTTTAGTTGCAGGAACAGTCGATTATTTAAAAATCCATCGAATTATTCAAGGTTTAAATTTTAGTAACTAGACTTGAGAGACCTAATTGGCTGATTCAGATTATCAACTTAAATAAAATGTATTTTTATTATAGCCCATTAATCATTTTAACATAAATAACATTTCGATTTAACAAATTGAATAGTATTTGTGTCCCTAAATCAATACATATAAAGTGAGTATGTGGTGTCAGTCTTTCTTATGAGTGAAAAGATATTTAAATTGAAAAATAAAATATGACGTATAAGTTAAAATTCAAACAGTTATAGTTCAACGAGTTTTTGACTTGAAGAGTTTATTCAAGCACCAATATTTCTTAGAAACGCTTCAACAAAATAATCAATAATCAAATTTGATAAAATTTCATACGAAACAACATTGTCAACATGTATAATGCACATGCGTGATTAAAAGTTAAAAACTACTTTAAATAATAATATTAATATGTATTATTTTGTCGTATTGTATGTACAGCAATAATAATTACTGGGTTCAACGTGGCTTAAATCTTGAAAATGATAAGTGTATCTTGTTGTATGGGACAGCTTGACTGAAGATTAATTATAAAAAAATAGTAGTAATATGGTAGATTTGGATTTTACTAGTTTTTAAATAATGAGACAAACATTTTAGATTTTTTTTCATGCTATTGTTGATAATTTATCGTTATTTTACTTACCGGTACAGTTATGTAATTAGTCGTGTAGTTATATCCACTGGTGGCGTGGACAAATATCATCAACAGTTGTGAGCACGCAAGAATAAACATATTAAAGTTGTTAGAATATTATTTACAACAACAGCAACAACGATTAATAACAATAAAACTACGTTTAGACCAAACGGAAATCGAAAATAAATATAAATTATTTACTAGTACTTGCAATAATATATTTTATATAGGTACACTCTGTTAGTATTAGCAGAACGACGTGTGTATATTACACCAGCTAGGTAGTCTTCACTCGTAGTGCGTGAAGCAGATACAATATACATTTTAATGAGAAGTTCGGTATATTTCGAATACTTACAAAATAACAGAACTGATAAGATTAACGTTGGCACTTCAAATTGTGTAAATATAACAAGAAAGAAACACTTCAGAATGTGATATGCTATTTAGGTATGTTTGTCCAAATACTTATTGTAATTGAGATGGCCCGTTTAAATCATAACAACTATATATACATATTTCTTTGTGCCAGTTTGTTAAATTTAACTCGATGGCCCACTCTATCAAACTGTATCTACCTATAATCATTATATTATTTTTAGAGTATTTAGAGTATTTTATACAATCGTGCCACTGCACTTAAAGTCACTACTAAGTAAGACATATTTTAATTCCTTGATGAGACATTGCAGTAAGCCTTAAGAGAAGCAAATTCAACATATCCGTTTATTTACCTAACATACCTAATTGACGAAAATTAATACACGGGTATTATGGGGTAGTATGGTCTCCTAAATCTTGTGGCATGTCAATATTTATGCCATTGGAAATCGAAATCACGTACCTACTTATTACTAGTGCATTGTAGCACAATATTTAGACAGCACTACTACAGTACATGTTGAAGTGCTTAAATATACAATCATAAGCATTGGACTTCAGAAAAAAAAATGGCGTTGAATATTTTATTAAAACAATTGACATTTTATAGATACTTGAGATAAGAATATAGGTACACATTTTGTTATAAGGTATTTCATTTTTTGACATAACAATACATCATAGTGAATTATCAATTCTGTCATTATGTAAAATTATTAAGGTGGTCTATATAGTAAGAACTATTTGTTGTTTAACGAACGAGTTGTTAGAACCTCGTATCGGAGGTTTTTGATAGTGGAATATCCATTTTTTAATCCAATTCTTATAGAATTTTCTGGCTTTAATCACATTTTCTGGGTCCTTGGCATGGGAGGCCCTCAAGTCCAAATGATGCGCAGATTCTGGTATTACCACAGCGAGCACCGTCTTCGATATGTTTTGTAACACTCCACCGCTCGACCATGGATCCAATAAACCATTGCTGTAATTATTATAGTTATGTAATTTTGTAGACAAAATTGATAATATATTTAAGAGTTTTAACTCATTAAAAGGTTAGGTAAGGTAAGGTTCAGAGATCAAATATTTACTAATAACTAGTTATGCACTGATATTGAATTGTCATTGTTCTTTTCAATTTTATTCAAACAACATAATATAGTAAAACTGTTAACTTCAATAATATTCCAAACTAAAATAAATGTTTTTATTTCAATTTACATCTAATACTTTGCAGTTTGAGGTTTAGGTTATAAAATACCATTAAACGTTATCAACTTATAACTAATAGTTACCTGAATATTATATTGGAGGCAGCGTTTAAATTTTTACCACCATATGTTTTCTCGATTGTATAAATGCTAGGCTGGACCCCATAAGTTTCAAAACAATACTTAGCATTTTCTTCAAAATTCCATGGCTTTTTTTCGAATATATCTTTAATTCCATTCGAACACATTGGCATAACCATTTCGGTGCAGCTCTAAATTGTAGATAACTTAAATTAAATTTATTTTTACAAAACGCGTATTCCAATATTTTATATTACTTGATAGTTCCATCCCTTTTCACCGAGTGTAGGAGCAGAAGAGGACAAAATATCTAAACATTGAGATGTGCCGGTATAGTTAAAGTATACACTTAAACCTTTGAAGACTGATCCCAAAAGAGTAAATTCATCTTCTTTGTGATTTTTCATTGGTTTACACACTTCCTGTGACATACATAAGAACACATAATAGTTAATACACCGCTTAATCATTATACATTCATGCATTAAATGTAATTTGTATACCAATTAAGAATTATTAAACAATCAAAAATAAGTGTTTTATCCACCAAAATTCTCATTTCTCACTCCTGTGACCCAGATGTTTAGTTGTATAGTGTTCGAATTAGGTATGTTATTATACTTTTAAAAAGTATAGCGCTTACCTTAACGGGATAGCCGGGTAATGGTGTTAAAAAATTTGCAGGGTATGGATAATTTATCATGGCCAAGTTCACATAAAGTTCAGACACCCACTGTTTCAAAGTCGAGACGTCATCGTTGTTTATCAACGGTGAGCACAAGTTCCATTTCTGAGATAGCCACGCCTTACCATCGACTGTCATAAGAAATACGTTTGACGAAATTACAAAGCGTATAACATTAAATTATTACATTACATGTAGGTAACGCATTACAAATCCGATCGGGCGAAAAGAGTACAAAATAAAATATTTCACGGTGAACTCTAAATTGTCTATAATAATAATAAATATATGAAATATGCATTACCCGTTTTTGTAACGTTATCAATAGCTTTCCAAGACGCTAATATCGTCAAACCACATTCGGCACTCGTATCTGTATATACCGATGACGTGACCCTGTAGAAAGCATTACACGGCGTCATACCAGTGAACTGCCATATCGGTGCAGACGACGCTATAGCACTATAAATATATAAAAAAAAGTTATTTACAAGACATGACTACACAATAACCAATATAATATATATATTATATATTTTGATTGTATTATGTTTTGTTTTCCAAATTCGTTCTGATTATTATCAATTTAAAAACTTTGTAGAAAGTATGATAAAATTGTCTTCTAAACTATCAGAATTTAAAAACTAAAACTAAACAAATTAAACTCATACTTCAGTATGACATTAATTTTTTTACCACATTTATTGAGAAAATATTCTAAGTAGATAGGTACTTTTCTATGAGCAATATTTATGAAAGATAATATTAAAATTATTGTTCAGTGAGTTTCATAAGGTTTTGGAAGAGTTTTGGGGAGATTTCTGTCTGTGTAGACATATTATCTAAACATTTTTATATTTTTGAAATTTTTTTAATAACGATGGCAAAATGCATAACATAAATAAGTAAAAAAAAGTTTTTTCCGTAAAGGAAATAAGAATTTTTAAAGCCGATGATAACTCGTATATAGGAACCAAGACTCGAACCTCGCTTCTGCACCTAACAAAAATATCTACCGTAAAAGTCAAATTATGAGTTCCCGTAAACATGTAATTTAGAGTTGTGTTGAGGTCGTAAATTTTCAATATTATAAAGCATGATGTCAATACAAGCTTGAAGATCTTATATTTTATAGTCAGGGTCCGGTCATCGGCACTCGCGAGCCGTAACACGACAACCGCAAGCAGGCGAGTAGGGACCACGACCATTAGGTATATGACCACCAACCCTTCGACGATGGCTGGATACTTGATACGGAACCAGGCGGCCAACATGCCGCCGTACGATCCGCCGAAAGCGATCACCGGATTGGCGGAGGACGGTGCAGGCGTGCCGTCGACGCCGGTGTCGTAAATGTCGCCGGCCCGGTACAGATCGCGGTCCGAGTACGACCCGTTGTGCCGGAGGTACGTGATCAGGTCCACGTAGTCGGCGAGCGCCTGTTGCGAGGTCAGGTAGCCCACCCGGCCGATGTCGTCGAACGATCGATTGCCGTAAGGCATCGAAACGCCGTAGTAACGGTGCTCGGCGAACACGACCAGGGCCCGGAACTCTTCGGCTATCTCCCACATGAAACCCTGAGAAAACCCGTATTGCGATGAGCGTGTTGTGGTATGTGGTTATATGTATAGGTATGCTAACGTGGTACATAACATTATCATGTACGTTCTGTGCTTAAAACGAAAACAAATAAACAGTGTTTGGGATTTGATAAACGTTTGAAACTCTTTGGACGCCAAAACGTGTATGATATTATTGATCCGTTGACTTGTGGTTTTTTTTGTCGACTATCTGAAACACAAATCAAACCCCTTTCATCTTACCGTGTTTTCACAAAACATTTCAATAGCTCCTTCATTGCCGGCATAAAAAAATATTGGTCCGTTTTCTCGTTCCCAATACGTATCGTTTATGAGGTACTTCATACGGAATGTGTCATTGTTTGTAAAACTAAAATGGTCTACCTGTTAGAAAAAATTTTAAAAATATTTTTAAAAAAAGTTTCAATAAATTCACTAAAAAAATTGGTGACTTTATATGATAAGTTACATAACGCGGAGAAATTCGAAAAACCTTAACAGTTTTATAAGTATATACATTTTTATTTTTAATTTTCTATTTGCGCCGCATTAATATTTCTAAAGCAGTATAGTGAAAAACATGCATGCCATTCATTAAATATAATATTAATTATTTGTATTTAATTAATTTCCAAGCTGAAATAAATGTCCTAAATTCAAAAGCAAAAACTAAAACTAAATTTATAAATTAATATCTATATTATCGAATAAATTCAAACGGTTTAAATGTTTTATTTTACAACAGGTATTTGTTTAGGCAACAAAAAGAATGTTTGATTGTTAATTAGAAACAATAGAATGTTTTATGTATGTATTTAACCTTTAATTATTTATTCAAGATAATGAAGAAAACTAATCATTAAAGGTAGTTTTCACACATTGAAATGTAAATCCGAGTAAATAATTTCACCTAGTTGATACACAATGACACTACGAGTATATGTGATATACCTATGTAGTATGTACACTAGGTCATTCAATTCATTTTTTTTTTTAGGACAAAACCAAGGCAAACTATAATTCAAATCATTACTCGTCTTTGACTTAAGTATAGTAAAGTCCTGTTCACGATAATTGGACACAAGTAGAGTGGGATAGTTATGGCAATGATTTATTTTATAAAAAATACAGAATATATCAATTAATTAAACTATCAGTTTATTTTATCTAGGAAGATACTAATGTTTCAGACTTTCGCAGTACTACTTCTTTTTTAAAAAATAGATACCACCAGTTTCACCACTAATTATTTCTCATAGTATTTTGTTGTGAATTTTAGTGTTCAGCGTCTTTAAAACCTTAATCATTTAAAATTGAAGAAGGCTGAATAATTGTATTTTGAGTATTAGATTGTATTCGAATGACATTAAAATCTAGATTCTAGATGAACAAATAATTATTTTGG